GGCATACATCAGGTCAGCGAGACACACCTCAGCACCGCCACACAGCTTTCTACTGGCCGTCGGCTCAGACAACTTGCACAGGCTGAACACCGACAAGTTCGACCGCTTTTTGGGCATCCCGCCGACCTCCGCAGAGGTTCCAATTGGGCAGGCACCTGGACAGGGGTTGCCACCATCAGTGACTTTCCTTGTTAGTCTCTACAACTTCGACTTCCTGCCGAACTCTGGCAATCAGGTCGCATTCAGTTCTCACTTCATCATGTGGGGGCTCAATCCATCATCCTGGCTAGCCTCTACGGCTTCCCACGCGGGCCTACATGGCCGGCTGCGCAAGAGCTCACTTCCCAGCTCCTGGCCTTCATCTCTGAGCATCTCGTCGTGGGCTACAACGGGCTTGCAGTGATAGCTGGGGACTTCAATTTCAGTCCCGGTGAATTGGCAGAGATGCAGCTTTGGACCTCCTATGGCTGGCAAGAAGCTCAGCTGCTTGCACACCATCGATGGCATACGCCCATCCAACCCACATGCAAAGGCAGCACACATAGAGACCGAAGTCTCCGTTGAGGACATCTTTGTGGACCATAGCACAGTCATCGCTTCGTTTGACCTTTCTGAGGTACCACATACCTACCTGACATGGCCACGACCGTCCGAAGTTCCATGGACCGGCATTGCCGTGGACGACTGGCATACACATCTTGTTCCGCCTGAGGTTTGGTGCCACCAGGATGCCACCGTCTACTACCAGCACTTTGCTCGTCAATTTGAAGATTCTCTGGACGGCCATTGGTCTTCTCAACCAGGTCAACCGCCTTCCTTCTCGATGCAAAGGACGGGCGCAACGCACCAGTCCTACTACTCAGCTCTCCACTCCGCCCTCATGCAAAGCACATAGGCCTGCTACCTGGACGGGCAGTCTTACTATGGTACAAACAACTGCGTCGGCTACAATCCTACTTGCACTCCATTCGCAAAGGCACTGCCACTATTGAAGCCACCATCTACCGAGCAGAACTTTGGCACTGCATTCGCCATGCTAAGGGCTTCAAGGATGGGTTTCCTTCCTGGTGGAATTGCCAAGAATTCGTTTTGACCGTTGGAGAGTTCCCTCTTTTTCCACCTTCGCGCAATTTGGCAGAGGTTCTCTTCGCTACCTTTTTGCAAGCTTTTCGTGAGTTCGAGACTTGGCACTTCAATCAGCGCCTCGACATCCTCAAGGCCAAACGTCAGGCCACAATGGAAGGGCTTTTTCAGGATCTCCGGCCTCCTGGCAGGGAACAAGTTGATTGCCTTTGGAGGGATGAAGATTTTACTCCCCTTTTGGAAGCTGATGACGAGGGAGTCATCCACCTGGACGAGCCGGCCACTCTGGCCAAAAATTCCATTTGGTTGCTGGATGGACTTCCTGCCGCCATTACTCCAATTGCGGACACGGTTGTACTGGCGGACATGCCCAGCGTGGTCTCAGATTGTTCCTCTTTGACTCAACGTATCTTTGCCTCTACCACAGGGGAGATCCACGAAGCCCTGGGCCGCTTTTGGCAGGACAGATGGTACCTGAGTGAACCGCCCTCACAAGAAGCTTGGACACGGATTACGGCATTCACCCAGGCCTTCATGCCGATGGGTCGTTTCTCCTTCGGGCCAATCACCATCAACCAATGGCGGGCCTCAGTCAAGCGCTTCAAACAAACCTCGGGCTGCTCGAGGGGCCGACGGCTTTGGCAAGCAAGACCTTCAGTTCATGACTGACAGTCAGATTCTCGCTCTCCTGTCACTCCTCGAGGCCATAGAAACCGGCCAAGCTGGTTGGCCCACACAAATGTTGGAAGCCTTTGTGGCCAAGAAAGACTGCTCACACACACCTGACCACTTCAGGCCTATCGCTTTGCTCTCGATTGTCTACAGATGCTGGTCATCTTTGAGGGCGCGTCAGTTTCTTCGCCAACTCATTGCATACATCCACACGGATGCCTACTACGGCTTCCTCCCGGAGAAAGAGACAGCGCAGATCTGGCTCCTTCTTCAAGCTCAAATCGAATGCTGCCTTCAAGCTGCTATGCCCCTTGGGGGCCTCTCTACAGATGTCGTCAAAGCCTTTAACCACATACAAAGGCCTCCACTCTTCTTTCTTGCTGCTCATGTTGGAGCTCCCCCACGCCTTTTGCAACCGTGGGCTGATTTCCTGGTTGGACTTCGTCGGCGATTCATTGTCCATAACGAGCTTGGAGAAGCTTACCTGAGTAATGTGGGCTTTCCTGAAGGCGACCCGCTCTCCACGGCCGCCATGGCATTGCTGGATTGGTCAATGCATGTCTATCAGTCTCGGTTTGCTCCCTCCGCACGGACCTGCAGCTTCGTCGACAATATTTCCATAGCTGGCCACCAAGCTCAACATGTCGCAATGGCCTACTTCTCTTTGCAGGCTTTTATGGCTCTCTGGGGTCTGCTCTTGGATTTCTCTAAGACCACCTTTGGGGCACCACCAGCGACATGCGCAGCCAGCTTCGGCCACTTGGACTTCCTCTTTACGAAGATGCCTTGGAATTGGGCGGAGCTCTTTCCTTTGGGGCCGCTTGGCGTAACAGGCTTCTTCAGGCTAAAGGCACCAAACTTGAGGATTGTTGGACTCGGCTTCGGCGGTCTACTGCCCCACTCGCGTTCAAGCTCAAAGCACTTCCTATCGTTTGCTGGAACAAAGCTTTGCACGGTAGTGAAGCTTGTCCGCTTGGCTTCCAGCACTTGCAAGCACTTCGGCGCCAGGCCACTTCGGCCCTTGGTCTTCGAGTCGGGGGGGCCAACCCCCTCCTTCGTTTGTCTTTGTCAGAGCCCCCTACAGCGGAGCCTGCTTTCTTCTTGCTGGTCCGTGTCGTTGACTGTCTTCGTAGGTTATGCTTCAAGTCTCCTGAGCTTTTGGACCGTTGGCAGTCCTTCATGAGAGCTTACAGCGGCCGCACTCTTCCCGGTCCTTTCACGCGCCTTGCGACCTGCTTATCCGAGATTGGTTGGTCTGTCACGGCTCGTCCGTTGGTGCTTGATCATGATGGGTTCGAGCATGACCTTTTGGCCTTACCACGTCAGGCTGTTCATGAGTTGTTGCTCGATGGTTGGTTGCAGCATGTGGCACACATCGTCAATAAACGGCACACCATGTCGGACTTGGCAGGAATGGACACCTACCTCTCCCGACTGGATCATGACCAGCTTACGGCTAAACAGCTGGCCCAGACGCTGGCATTAAAGGAGGGCGCATTCATTTCTGCATGGCACCAGGCCAAATTCGACTGCACCAAGCAGGCATTTTGTGCTTTTTGCCGGGTTGCCGACCACCCAGGTCACTGGCTTTCGTGCCCACGATTTCAGGACTTGCGTCTACACAATCCGGAGCTGACTGAGGCAGCGGGATGTTGGCCTCAATGCACGGTTCATCATTTACTGGTTCCCAGAGCCGATTTTGCGTTTGAGCTGAAGGAATACTTTTTGCAGCTTCCTGCTCCCGGTGACTTTCTTTCTAAGCCAGAAGAGGGGTTACAGGAATTGTTTACGGACGGCAGTTCCATTGACTTTGTTCCTGGATACATTAGGGCCGCCGCTTGGGCCATTCAAAATGCCACCACCGGTCAGCCGGTGGCCACAGGACACCTCACTGGACTCCTGCAGACGGTGAACCGGGCCGAGCTCACGGCCATTTTGGTTTGTGTTCGTTGGGTGCTGAACTTTCGCGCTCGAGCGCGGATTTGGACAGACTCCAAATACGCACACAACTGGCTGAGGGCAGGACTGGAACTGCATGTTTCCCAAGTGCCACCTTCTGTTGACAACCACGATTTGATCAACGAGCTTTTGGCAGACACTGCGCTTCTGGACCAAGGGCAGATTGAGATTCGTTGGTTGCCTTCGCATTTGGCTTTGGAACGCTGTGAGACCGCCTCCGAAGAGTGGGCTGTCCTTTGGAACGACCAAGCCGATCGCCAGGCGATACGATCCAATTTGGATAGATCCGACACTTTCTGGAGACTTGTTGCACAAGGGCAGGAACGGGTCGACACTTGGGTCCCCTTTTTGCGGGATCTCCGACGCTTCCACCTTGAGGTTGGGGATCACCTTAGGACTGCTCAGACCGACGAAGCTGATCAAGTTGTTGACGACACCCCCTGGGAAGAGGTAGTGCAGCATTGTTCGTTGGACGCCCGACTCCCTGAGGCTTGGATGAGCACTTTTCAACTGTTTAAGTCAGACAGGGTGGCTGAATACGCCCACTGGCTGCTTGAAGCGATTCGGCCTTTGCAGGACGAGTCCGTCGATTTTCTGCCGGTCAGTTTCATAGAACTCACGCTTTATTTGTTCGAACGGGAGGATTTTACCATCCCACATGTGCGGGAAGGGCAAGATCTTTTGATTGCGCCCCGCAGGCTTTTCAATCGACCTACGCTGGCCCGCATGGTTCATGCCGTTAGGGGGGCTGTTAGGGAGGTCTGTGACTTTTTTGATCTCAGTTGCTATTTGACCAGAGGTCCAAGATTGGAAAGCCACATTTTCCTGCCATGTGACTGTTTGATTTTGAGGCCTAGGCCTGAGGTTCGGAGCCAGCTGCGCGAGCTGACTTCGACATTTTCTGGAGGACGAGGCATTCGCAAGACTGCCGACTTGGCTCGTCCCCCTCCTTCGGATCGCCGCTAAGTGGTTCGGCCGACAAGGTCTGTCCCGGTGGTTGGATCCCAGAGACCGAGAGGACGTTCGGCGCGGCACTGCATCCGCCGTGCTCGCCGCTTTGACTGTCCGCGATACTGCCCGCCCTTTCGTGGCTCTGTTGTGCGATTTCCTAGAAGCAGTATCCTCAAAGGACAAAATATATCGAATATCTGCAGAGGATCCAACAAAATGGCGTGCCAAACAGAAAGGGACTGTGCATTCGGCTATGAAGAACACATACTTGCCACATCTACTGGCATGGGTCCTTCAAAACAAAAAGGCTGCCTAAAGTCCATTTAGCGCCATGCCTGAAGTAAGTAAAGGCTGTGCTGCCATTGCCCGGCTGCCTCGCAAACCTTGGCAACTCTGCCCAACACCAACTGCGGAGTTCAACATGGCTAACAGAATTCTCAAAAGTTTTGGCTGGTGACATCTATTGATCTAGTGTTGTCGTGCCCAACTTCCCCGTTGAATGGCCAGCTTTCTTGGAGAACCCTTGTTTCATAAGGTTTTGCGGAAGGGACACCGGTGCGAACCTGTGGCTGGTCTATCCGCTATCACCAATGGCCTCCAACCTAGAAGCAATGGCCTCCAACCTACTAGCGATGGCCTCCAACCTAGTAGCGATGGCCTCGACAAAATGCTTCTGTAAAGTTCGGGGCACGGAAATTGCCGTGTTGCAGCAAATTGTGTCCAATTCCAGTGCCTTCTCGACCGCGTCTTCTAGCACAGCCAGGGCCTCCCTCCAACGCCTGGTTGGGCGACATCGTGCCAGGAGCTTCCTGAAAAGCCAATTCCGCACAACAGATCTTAAAACATGTAGGAGCTCGGAGCAAGTACTTTGCAAATGCTCACTCATCCCAATTGTGCCTCAAAGGAGCTGTAGGGAGCTACGACAAAGTTGTCGAAATCTTGTGTAGTTGGTCTATGTTCCTCCTCGAACTTCTTCTTCTTCTTCTTCGGAAATTAAGTCAACTGAGTGGCCCATTGACTTATCGCCACACACACAAGTCACACAACTGCATCAAGAAGAGCTTCGTGCAACTCCGAAGTGGATCCTCGACAGGCCTCACACAAGCAGAATAACACGAGTCCGCCAGTGAAGTCAAAGCAAACCAGGTACAGTCAGTGCATCTGCATGGCACGGTTTTGATTCAGAAAAGTTGATGCACGGACTGCAAATGCCGATCACATGGCATGTTGCATCAGCCAAGCAATGCGCACAACACGGCGATGAACACTATGTTTATTTTCGCATCAAACTTAGACTGGGTGTCATATCCCAATGAAGCGGGAGGGAAGCAAATGTCTCAAACACTGGTGCACTTGGGGAGCCCCATGTTCTGTTTGTAGTTAGGCGACCATGTTTGGCCATGCACCATGGGGATTTGGCAAAATGTTGGATGTTATGTAGAGTTTAAGACGTTCCATTTGTTCCTTTGAGAGCTATGATGCCGATAACGCTAAAAATCCTTTGGTCAACTGATTACACGATCTTTGATGTATTTTTTGTTCTCATCCTGGGCTCAATTTCAATCTCCTTAATTGGGCTGTCTTTCTCTATTCTACTCTAGGCCTCTAGGCTGAAAGTCTCGTGTCTCATGCAATCTTGGAACCAGACTGCGTGCCTTATCCAAAGTCATCTTCTGATTCTTTTTTCAAAACACCATTGATTTTGAATGACTTTGACAACAAAAATTACACACATGCGTTTTTGCTCTAGTTATTGAAACTGGAAGAAGCCTGATGTTCCACTCCACCAATTTATAATTATATGGCTGTGGCTGAGCGACCGTCATAATTTTGCGTCTCTTTCTCGCATCTTGCATAAAGCTACTGCCCGGCCTCGAGCCAGTGCGGCCAGGCGAAAGCATCAGGCCAATCCATGGCTGCACAACTTTCTGTGATCGACGCACAAAGAAAATCCAGGAGCATTGTTTTCTCTACATGTTGCCTTCGTATGCCTTCGTAGGAGTCTTGCCATGTGTTGCCTCTTCTTTAAGCAAGAAATATCTTCAAAAGAAATTCAAACATGTTCAAAGTACACCTCGGGTCCACATCTCTCACCAATGAACTGCAAAGCATGCTCTCCAGTCGTAGCCTTTGAGAGTAGTGCGTCGACATTCATCCACACAGATTTTGCCACATCCACTGGCCACTCTGCAAGAGACCTGCAAAGAGCCCACCTGCTACCGGGAACTGCTCAAGTGCCGCCCTTTTCATCTTTGGATGCGAAATGCTGACCCTTTGGGTCTTCCACGCCACGCACCGGCCTACTTAGAGATCGGGGATCTCTTCCCCATCCGGTGCACCTCTGGGAACTGGAATTGTGCAGCTTTCAGCTGTCACAACAAGCCCCAAGGAACCACTACATTGTACATGGGATCAAGTGTCTCCACCAATTTTCTCCACCAATCTGCGGCTCTCAATGGCCTCTGCAGCTCCAATCATGATGATGTACTGTGCTGCTAGTGCCGGCGATTCACAACCCGATCGGCACATTGAGAGTGTTTTCGACTCAGAGCGACGGTCTGGTTGATTGAAGATTCCATCGATGCGGATTGCCTGCCAGTGTCATTTGTCCAGAAGTCTAGTGTCAAGGCCACGAGCTTGAACATGGAACCTTTGGAATAAGAAAGCAAATCGACTTTTCAGTTCAGCCTGCGCATTCCTACCTCTGCCGTGTGTTGGCCTGCACAACAACCTGGCCAGCGAACCGGCGGCTCGTTTTCTTCTGAATGGTGAGGAATCAAGAGTCCACTTGTTGTGCGCACATGTACCAGCAACCCTTGAGGAATCAATGCGCACCTGTTCCTTCAAAGCACAAATCGCTTGGTCTCACAAGTAGCTTATCGGGTGCCTCTTGATTGCGAGGGGGTTCCTCGAAGGCAATCACCCCCTGGCGACGAAAGCCAAGCACAATTATGTGGCTCATCTCAATGACCCGAATAGCTCGGGTAGTACGGTGGGCTCATGAGTTCTACTGAAAAAAAAAAAACAACTGTGTACAAACCAAGACATTGAGACTCTTGCGTGGCCAGTGAAACCATTAAGCTGAAGGGACGATCTTTCCACCGCGCATGTTTCTGGGCAAATCTTAAAACTGCAGTCTCTAACTGTCCTAGAGGCAGCGACAAAGACACAAAGCAAAGAATCCGGATTGTCTCTTTGACATCTTGTCAAGATCTGATCCTACAATCGAACGATACACCAGTATATTACATAGTGTATATATACAGTATATTAGATAGTGTGTGTACATCGTCTGATTCGTCTGATTTAAGAATGTTCTACGTAGGATTGTTTGAGTCGAAAAGTTCTTCCAGCACAATGTCTCCTCTTCTGGTGCTGGCACCACCGCCGCCATATTCGTCTGGGCGAGAGGGATAGATCTAGGATTACGATTCCAGAAGTGGATCCGGCCGATGTTGGCCGCCCGGACGCAGGTGGTGAAGATCGATGCTCCAAAATTCCCATGAGCTGATCTTGACATCAGGAACACTTCAAAGGGTCTACGGTGTGTAGGGCCTGGCCCGAAAAAACCGGCCTGGAAGGATGGAGAACCCTTGTGCAGTTCCGATCTGTGGAATCGTTCCTCGAAAAAACTCCTTGCGGCCCTGCGGCATCAGAGGCGGGTGTTTCCACGCTCGATGCCTCAAAAGCGGAAGTGGACGCCGCGGCCCCCACTCTGAGGAAGATATGAATAATTATGACGTATTACAACGCATTTGAATACCCAGACATACTTTCTGCACCATCAAGAATGACAAATGAAGAATCATCCTAAACCTTCTACTGGGGTGCTCCGAGGGCTATATGAATTCCATTATTCTCCAGATTCTCCAGTCAACCAACTCCAAGAGTTTGCTCGAGAAATCCGAGATCTACCAACTGCTTGCTGAGTGAACCTTCCCAAAAACAGTAGCCTGTCCAAATGTAAAGGATGACAAATATTGATGCCAGAAAATTCCCAATCCCACCACGCCGTGAATGGTTCGGAGTTGTTTCCCCTGCCTGGTCTGCTCCGATACGCTCGGGCCGAAGAGCCGTGAAAGAAGTTGCCGTCGCCTCACGCGAGATGGGGGACTCTCCAGTGGCTGACTAAGAACGTGTATGCGTGGGTAACCTAATTGTTAAAGTTAAAAGCTAAAACATACAACAAGTGCATTCACCGCGTCCTGCTCACGAAAACCCCTTCTGTTCCATCCAGTCGCAAACAAAAACATAGAACATTCACTGACCTCCAAATGTTGATTCTGGAAAACATCTTCCAATTGCAAGCTGGAACTCCAAAAGAAACAAAGAAAACGCAATATGTTCTAGTGTTCCTTGTTGCAACAGTGAGGCGTTCAAAAAAGATGCCTAGGCCAAAGGCCTCACAAGCTTTCCGGCAAAAGAACATGCTCCAACCCAGTTCGTTAAATCATATTAAGTCCAAGACCCAAGAGACCCAAGGCTGGAGTGGTCTCTAAGTAAGAGCGTTCTTGCTATCTGCCACTAGGCATGACCACCAAGAGTAGTCCAAGGCCTAAAACCTTCAAGAGATCTTCAAGACTTTGAAGAAAGAATGTAATTAGGCCCCCTTTGAAGGGACCTTGTTCCAAATCATCTAGGAACCAAATCATTAAAGGCTCGGGCTTCTTCAACGAAGCGCTCCCCAGCCCTGCTGCGTCCAAGCCTAAGAAACTACCTATATAAGCTTGGTAGCGCCTCGCCTACTAGTAGCTGCTCCCTACTTAGGCCTACCCCCGTTGTCACCCCTGCCTGCTCTTCGACCCAAGAACTGAATTTCTTCAAGTATCATTGTAGACAACCGTGTTGCCCCCCCCCTCGATGGCCTCTGGCTCGGCCTGCTCGCCCGATTCCAGGCTTTCAGCCTGGCAGACCGAGGGCTGGTGGTTGCTTGGAAGATACCCACTTTCGGGTGAATCATAAGGACCCCAGATCCGGGTTAAATCATGATCTGTTTAACAAATAAAACACATATGATGTATCATATCCGCCGACCCCACTGTGCCACTAAGAACGTGGGGGGGGGGCCGCAAAGGGGAGCTACTTACAATAGGAGCACATGTTCTTTTTTCCACAGGTTTATCGGCGGTTCAAAACCGATCTTTGGCAGCCGTATGGCGGTTGTCTCGAGACATTTGGGAGCAGGGCAGCATGGGGGAAAGAAGTAGCAGCACAGTGTTGTTTGGCGCTCATAGGTACCTCGGAGGCAGTTGCGGTGGTTGTTTCGAAGTTTATGCGATCAGAATAGTATAGCGAACCATTTCCCTCCTCCTGCGAGCTGCCGCATCACCACTTCACCTCCTTCTCGAAAACCATGTTCCTTCTTAGTAGCGGTTGCCATGCGAGCTCCTCTACATGCCCCGCATCCGGACCACACTCTGTTGACTCCTTCCTGAACACAGCCACTACACTACACACTTTCACACACTATAGCTTCAAATGCTTTGTTGGTGGTGCTCGCTATGTTCCCCGGGATGCCACACATTATTGGCATTCCGTTGCTCTTGTTTCCTTGCCTCTTCCACAACAACAACCAAAGAACCGCAGCAACCAGCCGCTAACAACAACAAGGACCGCCACCCAACATCATCAACAACAACAACAACAATCAACTTTGGCGTGGTTCGTTGGCACACAGGTCATACGCAGGACGGGCGCCAGTAGCACATCCATATATGCTCCGCATCTTTTGCATCACCAATCCTCCACCCGAAAAAAGATACACTAAGAATTCACATTGTTCGGCCTCTGGACCGCGTCTGTCGCTCACCAGGCGTTGCATAACTAAAAGCTAATACCCGCCTAGCTGCTTCCGGAGCTCGATGTTGGATCAATGTTTTGTTAATTTTAAATCAACGGTTGCGACGTTCAGATAACAAACGCATCGCAAATTACAGTGCTTATGCAATTTTTGAATGGAACATATCGCTGTCAGGAAGAAGCTCAAGCCGCGATCATGTTTTTTGGCAGCTCCTATGTACGAATCAGAAACACTGAAAAAAAAACACATTGCTTTGGCTTCCCACTAAACGTTGTAAATATCGTTTGCTTGCCGACATGTACAGTGCTTTCGGGTCCCTAATGCAAAAGCCACCGTGCTTTTTGGCTTGCCGAGGATCAAGAATCTCAAAATTCATAGGCTGAAAGGGATCATACAACAGCAAGCCTTATGGCATCGCCAGTGTGCGAAGCTCTACGATACATATCATACTTAATATGCATTTATATATATATATGATACATAAGGACTTGATTTAAGTGAAGTCCAACCACACAGCTGGGCTCCAAGCCAGGTCACGACGGCACAAGGGGCAGGTTCTGTTGACCTTGAACCTCAAGACAGGAAGATGACCAAATACAGGTGTTAGTAACAAGCCACTGTAATCCAAAAGAAGAAGAAAAAGGCTCCTCCAGCTATTGCATCCGCTTTCGCACGCATTCCTTGCGCCTTTTAGATGGATGCCTTAGAGCCTTAAGTCTTGGGTCCTCTGCTAACCTAACTGTCGGAGTTATTCGGTGAAATTCCCGTAAGTTCCCAATGTTTTGGGAGTCTTCCGAAGGCACTCTGTCTGCCTGAGTCCAGGGCCACTGAGCCAAACAGCTTTCGTGGAAATAGTGGCCACCTTGAATAGGCCAGCATTCAAGCGGAGCTTCAACTAGCTTACAAACAGGAAGCAGCCGCTAAGCCGCTGAGCAAGAAGGTTGATGATGACTGAGTTTATGACAAATAGTCTTTCTGATGGGCTGCTCCTTGCTAAAGTCCTGCAAGCAGGGTCATTCAGCAACTCGTTGGTCTTCCATCTCCACAACTTCTAGACCTTCATTCGAACTCCAACAGCATGTTCAAATTCATCCCATCCAAGTCAAGGTATGTATGCTTTCGGATAGGGCTATCCAAGCCGTCCAAGCCGATGCCTCCAAGCACATTGGACATTGCAAAGAATCTCCGAACTCCTGGCAGCGTTGAAGAACTGTCAACATGTGAATTGTCAACTCTCTGCAACAAAGGTCCGCAAGCAAAGCCTGATATCCCATAGAGTTGTGGTCAACCTGTGGCCCGTGTTTCCCAAAAGAGTTGAAATTCATGTTGTCAACCTGCAGTCGGATGATATGCTACACCGGCTCAGCGGCTTCACCCAGCGGGGGTTGTTGACCGTCATTGATGACATGGTTCCAATTCGCTCAAACCCTGAGAGCAGCTGAAGCTGGTAAAACACAGGTCAAAGCGATATCCAGGTCACCCGAGCTTTCCATATGATTCCCTTGTCTTCACGGTCTTCCTGCTGGACTCTCGAGAATTTCGGTCACACCATCGCACCTCTGGATCAAAGATCACACTCGACTGCAGCTCAAGCGTTCCCTGCACCAGGGAAAGGAGCTATAAACATGCTTTGACCATGAAGTCTTCAAACCTAGTCTGAATCCTTCAGTCTTCTTGTTGTTGAGTGGGGAAACCACACCCAAAAAAGGTTGAAGATTGTTAAAGGTTATCCACTCACGGGTATGTAGTCTATTGTTCTTGCGTCCAGGCCAGATCTTGCCCTATCTACTCTGTTTTTGCCCAGCCAATGTACAAATAATTTCGTGTTTACGATGTTCTGCCGCTCAAAAGCTGGTCAAGGAGTCTAGTTGTCCAGCTCCTCGTCAAGAAAGCAAACCACGTGCGTGGATCTGACAAACGAGCCACGGATCGGCATATCCGATATCTCATGATATCTCATGGTCATGATATATCCACACTTAGGATAGAGGCCGTGCAGGACCATGTGCATGTGGTTGACCGCTTCATCTTTTGGCACCTCTGGCGCAGCCCGGTCGCCCAGCATGGAGCTCGGTAGCAAGCCGCGTCCTTTTTTGCGGATCTCATGGGTGGAAGAATGGTGGCGTGGAAAACGCGCAGAGTGCCATGTTAGGTTTACGCCATGGTAATCGAATGCAATATGCCTTTTATTGCTGCAGTGTGTCAGCAGACCTGAGCTTTAGCCCATGTGGTGGATTCATCTAGGCCTACTGGCACTGATGTATTTGTAGCAATTGAAGCGACTAAGCTGCCACACTTAAGAGCGAGGCAAGCATATGCTGCAGCCTGAAATGTGTCTGAGCAACTGTGTTACATCAGATCATTGAAGCTGACACATCGCAAAGACATACACTTACCTCTAATGCGTCCATCCCTGCAAGAATGACTTAACAACTACTCCAAGAAAGACGCTACTAGGAACAAAGGGCATCGCTACTAGGAGCAAGGACGCTACTAGGAGCTTTTCGTCTTGCACTGTCTCGATGTGAACGGGGTGCTTCCTACTTGACGTGACTGGTCACCTGTTGTCCACCACATACGTGAAGCCTCAAAGAACCAATACGTGAAGCCACATTCGCGTGAGGAGTTGAGAGCATCCAAACCCTGATCTTCAACGAACGCTAGCATGGGCAAGGTCCGGCCATCTCCCATGTGCGCACCCATAGGTCGAGATCACAGTAAAAATTGTGAAGATCACCTGGCAAACGTCACAGAACATCTTGAAGCTTCAACAGTTCCTGGAACCAACTGACAACAAAACCCAGCAACAACGAAAACTGTGTAGCCTGTGTATGCATGTAGGTGCAACAGTCACTGAAGGTCAACTGTTCCAGCAACCAGCAAAATCAGTCTGCACACCACTGATGTAAGATTCATGGTTTCACTGGACCAGTTCTTCAAACAGGACCACTGTACGCACGCTGTTCCGAAACGACCGAAAGCACCGACAAAGCCATTTGTGCCCGGAGGACGTTGAATGAAGCGAAGAGATAAGTCGATGTGAAGAGGTTGGGCGCTGTGTCGTGGCACCTCAGCGAAGTCGAATCGCTTGAAGCTAGTTAGTCGGGCTTCTTCAGCTACTTCGTCGATATTCGAGTGTTCGGCAGTACCATGTAGCACTCCAAAGATGTCTCTGACTATTGCCAACCAACACAAACATCTTCTGGGTTCTCCCTCCCTTACAAGGATGTTGTTGACTACCACCAATTACTGTGCAGCATATGTTGCTTGACCCAGATTCTGGCTCTGGGGTGCAGAACGTTTGGCTGACTCGCGCCCAGTGCAGTCCAACACAGTGCCACCTGGCTTCTGGAATGCAAGTGCGTACAAATCCTGCGTTCAGGCATGTTTGCCTTTTTGATTCTCTCCAGGACCTCCAAGACTGCCCAACTCCGCCCCCAGTTCTGTCCACTCGGATGAGCACATTCTCAAGAACACGGTCCAGATCGTCGTTTGGGGAAAAAGGGATCTCGTTTCTCAGTTTATGCTCCATGTGACACCATCCATACCTTGTCACCTGCGTCTGAGTGAGCCTCAAACAGTGTCCAGCTTTGTTGCGTTGTCCACTTTCGCGCACCAACACAGGTCAGGTCCGCGAGAAAACAAAAATGGTGGTGAGCCAATGGTAGAGCCTGCCAAAGTGTGACCGCGGCTGCTGGACGCTTTGACCAGTTTTTCACAACCTCTCTTGCCATGCTGGCAGATGTAGGGAGAAAGAATACCATGGAAAGCCCAAGTTCAGCAAAAGTGTGGCTGTTCTTTGCCCCAACACCGGAGTTTGCCAGTAGCTCATCCCAAGACTTTGCGAAGTTGCGCTCAAATTGCCCACACTTACAGCTGAATTGTCTTTGATTTCTGCCAAAAATAGATTGCTTAATTGCACTCCCTGACATAATCATGCAAGTGGAAAATGGCTCCTTGGATGACCATCTTCCTCTACACCACATCGCACGGATCGATCCCGCTCTGTTGACCCCCCTTGGTTAGAAACCGGGTAGGTAACAGAAAATGACACTATGTGAATGACGAATCTGCACAATCACACAATGACAAGTAAGACAACATGCACCTGTTTACCCACATCGGAATTCAATTCATCGGCCATTCACACAAAGGAAGTAGTAGGCTATCCAACGGGCGTCTTCGAGAGAACAACTTCACAAACAGGTGGTTCTCGCGAGAGCAACCATTTTCCGCTACAAACAGGTGGTTTCCCACTTCACTTTGCCCTTCAAGTTTACTTGCTGGCATCGACAGGATGGAAACCAGTTGAGAAGTGTCCAAGTCGTGCCAATGAGCACTCCTTCAAATAGAGAAATCTATCGGAACAGTCTGAAATTCAGCAATAAAATGCAGTGAGCTATGAAACCTGGTTGAAGTTTAGTGTCAATAATGCCAATGAAAATCACCCAAAATAACCCAATATCCAATCCACAACTGATCTTTCACCGTGCTCGTTTCGGGTCCAGTTGGGCGGAAAAAAGAACACGGATGCGCCTCACTCGCGCAGGTGGCACCTCGAGGCTCTGTTCCGGCGCCTGGAGCTAAGTTTTAACTGCAAAACAACCTGGAGCTAAAGCTAAGTTGAAAAACTATGAAAAACTGTTGCTTCTTGTTCCTAGTAGCTTATTGTTACTAGTAAGGCACTTGTTACTAGAAGCGATGCACTTGTTCCTAGTAGCTTGAAAAACTGTTGCATGTTAAAGCAGTTTTTCATCTACTTTCCCTTCCACATGGTGAAACTCCTGCTTCAGGTGTTCGGAGATCCGAGTCATCCAACCTGGTTAGTTTCATACATGATCCATGCGTATTCAGATATGTTTTTGGGTAGAAAACATCATCAATTGGATGCTCACGTCTCCAAAGCTCCAAAGTTCACTGGGAACAAAAGCGAGAGAATACTTTACCCAAGCCACTACCATCCGCAAGACAGTGCAGGCGATGGTGTACTCTCTGATGCTTCAGCGCTAGTGTCACCGGTAAGATTTGTGTGGACATGCTCGAACAGTATATATTATATAACGATACTATATAACCATTAAAACAAATGCTTCCCTAAGCTGGCTCCAATCACTCAAATGATGCTTGTGATGTGCCTGCCCTTTGGCGGCAGTACCAATTGCTTCCGTCACGCAAAGTAGGGAGGCCTCTTGTAGTGATAAATCAATTCGATCGTTTGCAACTATCAACTCTAACCCTCCGACCCCCTGAAAAAGAGAACTTCGGCAAACTCCTTGAAGGAGCTCGCTTTCGTGATTAGATTTGTGCAATCTTCTTGATCCCAAACACTGGATTTCTTCCGTTGATTTTATGGAAATTGCTGGTGCCTAAGACTTGGTGAGGCGCCTTGCCTTGTGATCGGAAAGGTGCGTCTTATGATCATGCTGGGTGTTGCTGGCTTTGCCTTGACTAGAGTGACAGTGACTATGTTATAGAGTTCTTGTGGCCCCCAGCAAACAGGGCTGGCACGACCAGCTGGGATTCAGGATTGGAAAACATTGTATATATATATATATATGTTTCTTTTGAAGCCCGGGGGGGTAGGCCGCTAGTAGAGATGAGGTAGGTTAGCTAGGTAGGTAGCTGGTAGAAGCAAACGGTAGCTAGTAGCTTAAGTAGCTACTACCGACAGGACGCAGGATAGCTCACGCTTCTTCAAGGAAGCTCCGCCTGAGGGCGGGGGGAGCTTCCTCGAAGAAGCGCTCGCACTGTTCATTTGGTTCCTGGTTCCACTTTCTTCGACTGCCCGGTCAAAGTCGACTGCCTGGTATCTGCACACCGTCCTGGCGCAAAAAGGCTTTTCAAGGGTTGGAGGTGTGCATGCGTTGCATAGGGAAGAAAAAGGAGCCATAAAGTCATTTCTGATTGCGATGGGCTTCGGGAGTCTGCAGGCTCCAAAACCCACACAACGGAAGCCGACAGCGCTTCTTCGGCACTGCTGACAGCGCTTCTTCAGTCCTGATGACCTGCCTATGGATGGATCTTCCACCAAGATTGATGTGGTAGAAGATGTTGAACTTGGCGATCGAAAGGTCTGAACTTGACAGCTGAAAGACCCAACACATCTGGGGGGGGCGCAAGCGGCGGAAGCGAACGATGTTCATCACACAAAGGAAAAGTAAACATATGATTCTTGGTTTGCCCTATTGCTGTGACTGCAGCATGAAACATGATCGTTGTCCTCGTCAAAAAATGGTTCCTTTTGCCACAGAACTCTCAGATCTTGTGGAAATGACAGGCCATGACGAAGTGGCTCATGTTTTTTTCTGGCACTTACGAGACCAAAAGCACAGACTTGTGGACGATAAAGTATCAACAAGCAAATCATATTTTTTGGAGAGAAAACCCCGGTTGCAGCTCTGGGCCCTCCAGCCATGGCAACCCAGAACCAAAGAGTCAGTGGCACGTCACAGTCCTGTCCAGACGCAAGCGGAACACAAGGATCTGGAGAGTGTGAGACCAAACTACAAAAAATGGTGGAAGATCCTGGTTGTTCCAAGAAAAATGGATCGGCTAGACCAGCTAAACCACATTTATAGCCTTTGGTTCGAAGATGTTCGAAGTGAAGTCGGAACAAAAGCAGACCCACCGATTTGAATACCAAGCTGCAACTTGCTGCTGGGCAGCCACCGAAAATGGTCTCTTCAGCAAAAGAACAACATCCAGCTCCAGCCTGCCACTGCTCCAAGATGTAACCTTGCACATGTGACAAAAGCGGTGTTGCAAGTTCCCTTCGACTGTTTGTGCTGCTACCGATATGGTTGGTTGACATACTTTAGGCCCCTCACTCCATGCGACATCCAAGCTTATTGTTGAAAACTCAAATATCTCAAATGGAATTCAGATTAAAGTTGGTCAACAACTGCTTCCGAGGAGCTGTAGATGAGGTAAAAAAACAGAACCAGGCTTACTGGCAGCAGGGCACCTCAGATTCACACCATGACCCATGACTGGGTCCCAAATCGCAAGCATGAGCTTCTTCCAAGTGTTTCCTCTGAACGCAGGCTGAATCTGAGAAGTGCGCAAATGATGCACCCAAAGAGCATCACCCATCGAGTGATGCTTGTTTCTATTACCTGCTCAAAGCTGGAACAAACTTGATATTTGCTGACAGTGCGACATTCACTGGCTCGGGTTTAAGCATCTCATGTAACATACTAGGCTCTTTGTTTCAATGAGATTGATGAAGCTCTTTAAAGCAGGAGGGGCCAGCGTGGTGTACGAGGTTGCATTGGGATTGCGATAAGAGCTCATGGACTCATCACACCTAGAAAGTGGTAGACTTCAAGGGGTCAGCCCAACCCAAGATTCGTCACTGGTCCGGAGTGTTCGATTTGATGGAAGCCAAGGATCGTGATTCCAACGGGGCAAAGAGGTGGCATATGTTGCTGCAACTCGCTCCAGGTTCAGCAAGCACGGCTGTGACACTCATGATCGAAAGAAATCCCGTCATAGTCATAGTTGAGTCAAACTATATAAATAGATGTAATTTATGACTTGTCCAGATCACTTGTCCATAGTATTAAGTGGAATTGCATCGTATTGCCGCCGTCCACCTCCAGCTCGCTTTGTCTTACCAACTCATGGTCCGCCTCAAGTGCACAAAGAAATGACTTGGGGCATCAGGCAGCCAACAAGTTGCTGGTTATCTTCTTCTGCAATTCCTGTATACTGTGGATCTTGGAAGTGACACCATGTTAAACCTCTTAACAAGCTTGAAGAGTGCAGGGCAACAAGAGCACGACAACCAGGTCTGCGTGTTTGAAGCGTCCGCACCTGTGCCGGCGTCAAGCCCATGGCAGTAAGCTCTGCTCTGGTGGCCCTGGCCGAGATTTATGGTCCATCACAAATCCAAATGTATCCAAATGTACATACTGTCACGTAGTGCCCATATTCGGCCCTTGTATCGTGTTCAAATCAGGATGGCTTAGCAGTAGCACCGGGGTCTGAGGTCGGGGTCACGATCTGACAAGAGCCATAGACTACGTGTGAAGACCCCACAAGACCCCGCTGAAAGAGCGAACGACTGTCCCAGTGAAAACCTTCCACGTTGTTGTGGAATCTGCATCACCTGGCCAGCTGAACTTTGGCAAAAAAAGTCAACCAAAGAGAGGATGATCCTTAATACATGCATCTGCACCCGCAGAAAATACTTGGATGTTGCATCTGCTCGGATTCATTCAAGTTCTTGGATCCAACATCTGTCTCCATTCCAACATTCAAGCATTTGCTGGCTGCACCACCACCGGCATGACAGGGACCGCGCGCCACCATCAAGCTGCTTCATTCTGTGCTCAACCCAAAACAACAAAAGAACACAGGAGTTTCCACATTGCAAATCGATCAAGCCTTTCTGTTTGCAACAGAACTCTCCCCTCTCAGGCATTGCTTTAAACAGTGGACATGTTTGAAAACATAGTGTTATACTAAATGCGCAAGTCTACAACGTGTTGCATTCTGTTTGTGAAAACGAACACACGAGTCCGTTCTGACAACACTGTTGCCATTCTTCATGTCTCAATTGACCACCTTTTGTTCAGCGTGTTTGTGTACAAACCATATAGTGGAAACCATTCCCTATGAGGCCTTTTTCACAGACAATATATCTCGAGAGCGGCAACGGGTGATTAAAACATGCAAGCCTACAAGTAAGCAAAACAAAAAAAACATAAAAATGGTACCGAACACTGAGTACGCCAGATCATACTGCTCCAAACCGCACAAATCGAAGATGCATGTTCTGTGCTCCTGAAGGTTTTGTCCTTCTGAAGGTTTTGTCTGAACGACCATGTGGCGAATCCCCCAACACTGGCCTCTTTGAAGCCAAGCGTCATACATCAGATTTGTGTTCAATTCTTGATACAGGTGAAAACCCTGTGGTCCTCCAAATGTAGCATATCGGCATATCATATCCAGAACAGCTGTGGTAGAAGCGAATCAAGCACTCAAGGGCACAGTGACAGCGGAAGGCAACGAAATGAAACAAGCAATTGTTAATAACTGTTCTGTTTCCATAGATCGCAAACAAGAACAACATGCGTCGCCAACGAAAACGCTTCTGCCCCACCCTTTGATTTTTTGGATTATAATGGATTATATAGAGACATGCAGCCAAACCCGAGACCCAGTTTCTGTAGACAACTCTTGAGCCGTGCTCTGGCATGACTTCAAGCGCAGGCATTGAGCGCAAGGCAAGCACCAAGTATCTAGCACCAATCTGAGAGGACGTGGGCTCTGCTCAAGCGCCGAAAACAACAACAACAACAACAACCACAACCACAACCACAACCACAACCACAACCACAACCTTCTTGATCGATTGCTGACATCAGGTTTTTAGATTCCTTGATTTTTGGCAAAAAATTGGATCAGAAATCGGCGTGGCGCCACCCGCCCTAGGCCCATTTGCCCTGCGCTGGATGCTCTGGACCTGTAGGCTTCAAATGCACAGCAAAGAGCACCTGTAGGAAGCTGTAGGTGAAGGAGCAAAGGGGGAAGTAGGCCTCTGGAGTCTGAAGGCTGACTTCGGCTAACATGCCCAAAGAGGTGATCGTGCTTGATCGCGAGGGCCTTGAAGGTGTTTCAATAACACAGCCTCACAGCACCGTCGGAGACCTTGGCGGAGCTTTGGGTGGAGTCCAGGGAAGCTCTTACCCATCATATCGGAAAATCATGGCGATCGTTTTTTCTTCAGGTTGCCAAAACCCTTCACAATTTCCCAGGAAGCTTGTCGCTTGAAAGTTGGGCGATGTGGATAGGGTGGTTTAATCCCAGTGGGTTGTTATTATCCCCACACCGCCACCTGCCGGCCAGCACCAGCACACCCAGCACCAGCGCACAGCCAGCACCCAGCACCGGCACCCAGCACTGGCAGCGTGTCTCGAAAGCGAGCATTGGGCAGCTCATTCTTATGTGAAGTAAGAAATCTATAGCTATCGCTATCTGGAGAACAATCTAAGCATGCAAAGTACAGGATTGGACATTAAAAAAATGCATGTTTCAGATGCACATGTGCAGGAAATTATCAGGCACACAAACAATGACACAAGTTCCAGAACACTTTTACGTATGATGCTTACTCGCAGGAGACACATTGGCATCAAACAGGGTTAGCAGCACCAGGGCGTGAGATGCGTTGGTGTGAGTTGAGTTGAGTGAGTGTAAGTGAATGACTGTAAGCGAGGAGGAAGAGCAAGGAGGCTGCCGGGGCAGGCGAAGGCGGACGGGATCGTCAAGAGTAAATCCCACACACAAAAATGTTCCGTTTAATCTAGAAACAGGTGGTTGTCCACTTTCATGTTAAGTTGAAGGTGAACAGTGAAGCCTTCCATTTTGCTCTGTAGGACCACCGCTGAGCCGGGCTGAGCCGCGAGGCGGTGCCCTTTTTTGGTGCCTTTTTTGCGTCATGCCGAGGTGCTCGTTCGTATATCAAATTCTAACGCATGAGCCGCATGTTGCTCAAAATGGTGCTCAAATCAGCACAACAATTGCTCGAGAAGAAGCACAAAGGAAAAAATTACATTAGATGGTGTCAGCACCAAACAAGAGACTAGAGAGCAACACTAACAGCCTTAGACTTAGGCTTTTCTACCAGGAACGGATCCCACACATTGGATTCCTGCCCAATCCCCGTGCAGGTGAATTCGGTGGGTTGTCCGCCTGTTCTGTAGATGGTCCGCTCAGGCTACCCCTAGAGCCAAATGCTCGCAGGCTCACCACAGAATGGATGCTGCAGTGCAGTGGCAGCTGAGATCCGGCGGTGGGCCTGGCGAACCACCGGTACGGAAAGGAGAATTGTGGCACAATCCACCAACATGAACACACACACACACACACATTCACGAACCATCACTCAAGAAGGGCTTGGAAAATCGTGTCGAGAAATGGTTCGTGTGGTGAATTCGCTGCCTTGTATTGGAGGCACTGCTCCAAGAGGTCATGGCCAGCATCGCTCAAACCTGCACACTGCTTTGGTGGGACTGCCCTCCTGCCGGAAGATTTCAGGTTGTCCTGGATCTGCTGGTGTTTTCGGTGTGATTCCGGTGGAGGAAGTTCAACATCCTTGAAGGGCAACCTTGCTATAGATGCACAATACATCGTGAGATGAACCTCTCTCATCACTCAAAAAAATAGAGTTAAAAAACAAAAAAAACACTCTAAAAAGGAAACACAACTTACCAAACATCTTGAAGCTATCTCGTAGGTTCCTGATGGTGCCATCTCATTCAAAGACAGAATAGAAACTCTTTTCAGAACCCAGGTCTTAGATCTGCAGCGCCTGGAATGTGCAGGGTGTTGCTCCAGTCCGGGAAGTCTTTGCTGAAATACTCCAGTGCTGATACACCAGGCCAGGTCTCTTCACTTGGTGTGCCTGAGCGTGATCTTCCGAAATGAGTGTCCTTCTCTTTTTGAAGACCTTGAGATGTTTCCTATCACTTAAGGAGGACTGGCTTCCAGAAGGATGTGCATGATCGAAAAGCTCTCGGATCTGGTCACGCAGCCGCCCAACTCTGAGATCTTCACCCAGCAGCCGGAAGATCCTGGCGGTGCTTCGCACTTTTGTTGGTTCTCCTGTCGTTTGCTGGATTAGCCAGGTTTGCACTGAGAGAGGTCTTATATGTACAGTATATATATATAACTATATATATATATAATAGAGAGAGAGAGGGGGAGACTCAAAAAATACCTTTGTTTTATTGGACCATTGTCGCATCATAGCGCTTTCGAGGCTTCTGTGTTGTTCTGGCTCCGGCATCCTGTATGTGAGCCATACGCAGCGCGTAGAAAAATTTGTGTCTCAGACAGGTGCATGCGAAAGATCGTGGTGGCCCTGTTCGTCAGCTTCCCTTCTTTCGTCGCTCGCCTAAAGATCGTGTCGATCTCAGAGTCCCCAGGGAAAAGCACTCGTCTGGTGGTCATTTCAGACAGGATACAACCTCGGCAATGATCAGAGAAAGGACAAGCTGACCCCATCCTGAAAGGCTATGCAGTATGGTCAATGAAAGTGCGTCTGCATGTTGTCAACCATTCCTGCTTCATGTATTTAGAAACGTTCCCTCAAAGGTCCAGACCCAGCGACCACACATCCATAGGTGGGCCGTAGTGACGGAAGCCCAGGAGAAGCTCGATCGGACGATACCAAAGTGTACACACCTCATGCAATTCTCAACAACTCATGTTGGAGTGCTGATTCTTGGAGGTGGGCATGAGTCAAAGCCAAAAGACACATCAAAACAACGGCAGGTTGACATGCCGGCACTCCGTTCTGTTAATTTGGGGTGTCAACCAACAATGTCAGACAGAGGGCTTTGGCCTTTGTTATAGTTATAGTGACAGCAATGTGTGAGCCGACGAAACTGCTACCACCTTCGTGACACAGTCCACCACCCGGAGCCTGACCACTGCAAACAGCTGTTCTCGGGCGCATCCTCAGCGCAAAAGACCAGGTTTTCTGTCCCTTCAGCGGCTTGCAAGTCATGCTCATAACATCTCTCAACTCTTGGGTGGCTCACATTTGAGCAAGGCCCAAATCTGCCAAGACCAAACGCATCTCTCCCATCTTCATCAAGATGTTGGGTGGCTTCCTGGGCTCGAAAATGGCTGGGAGAAAACCTTTTAGTTCTGTCGTACCTCTGTTGACACATCCTCGCATCTGGTAGGTACAACTGAAGACTGCTACCTGTACCTGCAGCAGAGTTGCAAGTCCCGATGAAGAACGAGCCGCTGGTGACAATGAGCCAGCCCTGCCGAGAACCACTAGAAGGGATCTGAACAACTGCAGCAGCGCACTCTGATGTGCAGTGCCTCACAGAAGATTACAGTATATAATAGTATACTGTATGATCTTCTTTTCCAGAAATGCATTGCAGATAAACCCCAAAGTATGCTTTTGCGAGCACCAAACCCAGCCTGAGAACAATTGCCAGGCACCACGCCGCAGTAAATCGCCTGACAGGGGCAACAGATCAAAAGGAGCAACGGCAAAATGTGGATGTTCCGGACAGCAACTGAACACAAAGAAAGGCCAGAATCTGTTTGGAGTGTCACAGTTTGTGTTGGGTGGCGTTGCAAGATTTCTCTGGTTTATTGAGTTCCTCTCAAACAATCAATCGTCCCTTAGCCTCAACATGGCTTGCCGTTTATATTGGCACAACCACCAGCACAGGCCACCTTGAAAAGAGCCGTAGCGGTGCAGGTAGGTTCTGAGGTCCATGTCAAAGCGCTCGAAGACCATCCAAATGTATTGGTCATCTGCGGCTTAGGTGGCAACAAACACAAGGAGGCAGAAAGTCTCAAAACATGAAGCACACTGATGCAGATTGCTAATTGCAGTACATAGTGTTACAAATACAGAACACGACGTTGTGGAGGTGTCTGTTTTCCCAGGGCATCAGGTGGGGGTGCCAAGCAACAATTCCCCCACTTGGTTGGTGAGGTTAAGACATGGTTGGAAATGGAAAGGAGTTATGGGCATGGGGTGCAGAAGATGGATCTTGCATGGAAATATTTTCAGCTGCTATCAGTGGAGAAAGTCAAGCTTGAGGAGAAAAGGGATGAGCTGGAAGATGGGCCCCAGAAGATTCTTTGTATCAATCAGTTGGAAAGGGCTGAGTCCCAAATGAAGAGCATCAAAGAGGGGTATAAGCAAAGGGAAAAGAGGGCCAAGATGCTTATGGATGCATCTATCAGAGGGATTGCTTTGCTGCTTCATTTAGCGATGATACATACAAGATGATGTATGCAGCCCATCAGCTACAGTCTATCATTCCTCCAAAGATGACAGCTATGATGCAATTGACAGATACAGACTTTAGCTATGTGTTTAAAAGCTTCTGTTGATAAGATCATGGCAAAGGGGCAGCAGGCTATGGGCACAAGTGATGTGTACCATGGGTGAATGCAACGAAAACATAGAAAATCTATTGAAAATCGTAGAAAAACGCAAAAAAAAATCACTGAAAAAACAGACACCTCCAGGGCGTCGTGCTCTCTACAAATATGTTCCAATCTTTTTCAGAGTACTGCTGGCTTCGGAAGCTGTGCGTTCTAAATCCAGCTCGGTGTTTGACATGCCTGCCGCCGCTTAGCTGTTTCGGCCCGACGAGCTGGGGTCGCAACAAGACATGTTTAAAACAGCGCCTGGGGGGGTAGAGGACGCTACTAGGAGCAAAGGGCATCGCTACTAGGAGCAAGGACGCTACTAGGGGCTCCTGGCCTTACTACTAGGAGCAAGGACGCTACTAGGAGCAAAGGGCATCGCTACTAGGAGCAAGGACGCTACTAGTAGCTTTTGCACATCAACCTCGCCTGCAATCATGTCATGGAGCTTCACCACATGCTCATGGCTCAAACTGCCTGAGTCGAACTGAGAACCTGACAGGACCGTGAAACGGATGTTGAAATTGAAACGACATGGTTTGCATCTAAGTTGTTGGGCCATGGTCCAAGCGGTTATGGTCCCAGCGTCGAAGCACGGAGATCTCACGCAAAGTGGTCGCCGGGACACCCTCTTCACCGCAGTAGAGAGTCCTGAGATGTTGGTGGGATTTGACCAACAGATCTGGGAAAAGGGGGAAGCCGTTGGTTTTCATCGATTTTCCACGTCTTGCAATGTGGGCACATTTGGGCTCCATTTCTCGAGCAAGAATGAGGATATACTTGATAAGATGCAATGAACTTTGGGCTTTCATCAGCACAGTTGGCACCTACCTTCACTTGCACTAATCCAGGCCTCAAAGTCTGCCTCGGAAGAAGTTGCACATCAGCATGTGGGTGGGATGTAAAAGCAGGTCAAGCGAAAACAAACACCCGGTTGGTCTGTTTGGGAGTCCTCGTTGCCACTCTGAGTCTAGTCTGACTAACGGGCAACTGTCCAATGACTAACGTGGACGAGACCTTGTGGATGAGCCTTCACACCTGACCCTCAGCAGTCCTCTTGATTGCCACTTGCCGTCCATCCGACCGGCAAATTGCCCCATAGACAGCACCATAGGACCCCTGCCCATCGAGGATTGTGTCCTAATGCTATATGATGATCTGGCTCTATATTATATAAGCGCTTCAAATGACGGCATTCAGACTTCCAATTGTCAAAGAGCATGTTACCGTTCGGGGTACTGATTGTTCATCATGATCATCACCATCATATGTTCACGGCATCTTGTCCAGGCATCCAAAGTTCATCATCCGACAAAAGGGGCCTGCCCTCCCTACATGCCTGGCCGATCTTGTCAATGATCTCATAATGACTGCCGATCTCTGGTGCTTGCACGATCTCCTCAAGGTGTGCACTTCAAGGCGCGGCTGTCCATTTCAAAAAGCATCAGCTCATACTAGTAGCAGCAAGGTGGTGGCCAAGACAGGATGCTTTCAAGATCCATCCTTGTTAAGAACAGGATCGACTACGCTTTTTTGATTCGGGACAAGACAATCCGTTGGTAAGATCAATACGACTCTCCTCCAGACTTGCCATGAGCTGCAAAGCCCAACGCCCCGACCGTATGGGCTGAATTCGGCCACGGCCAGGTGACCAGGTGGCGAAGAGTGCAATCGCCCTGCAGCTGATATTCTGTATACCGATGTTGAGAAGAAGTGCAATGTGGCTCAGTCATGGCCGGACTTCTTGTTGCTAAGATTAATCCTTAGGCGATTGACGACTTCAAGACACGTGTCCAGCTTGAATCCTTATGGTTTGACCTGCAGGGCCGAAAGCTGCTTTTCTAAACTCCAAGCGTTTCACCTGGAACTTAGCATGCAAATCAATCTAGTCATCCACATCATAGGGCGTGCAAGCTGTCACGCAAGTTGGACTCACAACAGCATGCACAGCTCCAATTGAACCTGTCACTTCTGAAACAAACGATGTTGCCCTCAGGACCATAAGTGTACAGAAATTGCACAGCCACACAGCCGCACATCACATTTCCGATGTCGAAAACTGCCCACTCCACCGCTGTAGTGGATCAGCTCGGTAACCTGCGACAGGGATCACCAACCACGTTTATGTGCTGAGGTTTGCAGCTAACCTTTTGATTCCATCAGATATAGTCGAAGCTTTCAAAGGAACACTCGAAGAGGGTCCAGCGGCAGGCTCTCTGGATGTTCTGAGGCTGTCTCTTGCTCTCATACTTGTTCGGGGTGTGGAAACAGCATGACAAAAAACTGGCCCAGTCAATAAGTTTGAGAGGGAATTGATTCTTCTGAACATAATGGCATAGATAAGATCAAAGGAGGCTGACTCAGGCTGACTAATAACATACTTGATGAGCCTCATGTTGGTGATTTGGATGTTGGAGCCAAAAGTCCTCGAAACATCTCGAAACCATACTATTTCTCTGAGCAATTAGCGGCGACAGCATTCTGATTCCCTCAGTCCCGATCATGGGCTTCTGATGTATTTGTTACGGAAAAAGTAATTACACTCCATGGAATCATGATGAAAGTGGAAATGACTACAAACAGGAGCTTTTCCACTTCCATGATCATTCCAAGCAGTGTACAAACCTGCTCTGTGTTCTTCACTTCTGCCCCAAAAAAATTGATGTCAGACGACATGACAACCTCCCCACATGATTTCATAAGATTGATCACTTCCCCCTCGCCACTGAGCTGATCAAAGCCTTTCTGCGTGGTCTTGTCGTGTTGGCCGCCACATCACCTCGAGTACGCCATGTCGCCCCCGCGTTCTCCAGTTGTTGGACAAAAAAAACTGTAAACGAATCAAATGCAAAGGATAACGTCATTTTGTAGCCTTGTAGGGCAACCAACATCTCTTTTGCCTCTCCCCAGATCGACTTTTCTACCGCGAGGCAGGAGTTTGGGAGTTTGGGCTGCCCTGCGTGGCCATAAATAAACTTGCCTGCCTCGACGCGACCAACGATCCAACGTGCAATGGGATGCGACGAAGACATCTTAAACTCACCAAATGTTGGACACAAATGACATGCCATGATATGTGCACCTACCCACTTCTGGACTGTAACAACAGTCCAAGTATACCACACATACGAAAGGCACTGGTGTCTTTGTCTATACCCTTTTCCGTTTTGAACTCCTAGGTTCGTCAGGGGAAAGACATTGCTCAGATGTCAACGAATTTCGGATCAACAAGGGAAATCAACTGTTCAGTTAACTAAGTCTAGAAAGTTGACTTAGGTGGGAAATCTAGAAGTCAACTAAGTCGGTCAACTGTTCTGTTGGAGAAGGCTGGTTTGCGCAGCTCTGTCGGCTCTCACCTGGATCTGCTTGGAGTCCTTCAAGTCCTTCGAGTCCTTCTTCAACCCAGGCCACTTGATCACGCAGGAAAGTTCATGGGCGACCTCCTAGCGGCTCAACTCAGCAATGACATCTATGGCTTCGGAGAGCATCTTCTATACCCCTGTTTCAGAAAACATCCCAAACCACTTATCTTCGCGTGTCTGCAACATGCAGGTGGGCAGGCTGCCCTCTTCTGAGATGAATCCCAGCGCTGAAAGAATGTCAAGCTTTGTTTCTTCTTCCTCCTCCTCGTCTCCTTCCTTCTCCTTCCTCCTCCTCGTCTCCTTCCTTCTCCTTCCTCCTCCTCGTCTCCTTCTCCTTCTCCTTCTCTTTCTCTGTCCTTTTATTTGTCTGTTTCTGTTTCTGTTTCTTGTTCTTGTTCTTTTTCCTGTGCTTTTTCTTGTTCTTCTTCTTGTTCTTCTTCTTCTTCTCCTCCTCCTCCTTCTTCTTCTTTTTCTTCTTCTTCTTCGGATTGGTTGCCCTCTTGAGTTTGTTGGCAAACCTGGATCAGCTCTCAAGCATTTGGACATGTGAATGCAGATTCCTCTTGATGCCTTTGATTTCCTCACTGCTCTGCGATCTGCGCTCTCCTCCCTCCCGGTATGGGGCAGTGATGCCAAGGCCTTGGCCACGATGCTGAGCACCTCAACAAGACGTGGCCCCGATCGAGACGTGGCAAGCGAGCTTTCGGTGAAACCTCACAACCGACTCTTCGGCGCTGGTGAAGACGGTCAGGCGAAGGACAGTTACTGTAGTCCAGATTACAGTAAATGTTTTTGGCTTATTGGCAAGCAAAACCCGATCAAAGCATCTTGTTTCGGCAGCAGTGCATCATTCCGCTGCTCCGATGTCAGCCAGCTTCCAAAATCTCAGTCACCGATCGATCTAGGCATCCAACTGGTCCCAACTTTGGTGGGATGTGGGGAAATGGCGCGAGGGTCAAAAACAAGAAAAACTCTATTCATCACTAGGAGCAAGGACGCTACTGGGGGCCCCAGGCATCCCTACTAGGAGCAAGGACGCTACAGCGCTACTAGCGGCTCCTGGCCGTAATTACTACTAGGAGCAAGTAGCTGCTAGTAACAAGAAGCTACTGTACTATTCTATCTATTCTACAATTGAAGTGGGCAGCCCGCCCGCAAGTGCCCCCAGCTCCGGACGTCCAAGTGCCGCGCCGTGTCATTCATCGGATTCATCTTGATCGCTGCACCACTGTACTGCGAGGGGTGAATAAGTCGACCGCGAAGGTGAGTCGAGTGAGACGACACGTAACCAAATATATTGGCTTTTTGGCTCAAGGAGAGTGAGAGAGAGAGAGAGAGATCGATCGTTCTTTTTCGTTACGCCACCAAGCTTTGCCATGACATGCTATGACCATCCTCCACATGGCCGCCGTTTTGGAGTCCGCTTCCAGCTAGCGATTCTGAAGGTGCAGTTCCGGGTTTCGGGCAGGCGCACGCCTCATGCAATCCGGGCACTCCTCACAGTCCTCCTTCGGTCTGGCGGATGAGTTTGCTCAAAACGTACATCAAAAGGGAAGTCAACGAGTTGAATGGTAGACGTCTAAAAGCGATCAGCCAGCAAGCATCTGCTGTTTCTGCCTCACGATTCGTTTGTTCCGTCTAAGAGGCAAATGTTTGCACAGCTGACAGCGATCCTTCCGCTTGTCGTGTTCACAAATTCTGCCACCTCTGCAATCCTTGCACTGGTACCTCTGCCGCCCATGCTCACACATCATTTTCCCACCACAAGGAGCGCACTGCATCAGAAGTCGATTGTGGCTGCAAAAATTCAAGTTGGAGTGGATATCAGCCTTTGCAGGCAATTCTCCACGTGACACCCAGAAGCAACGTTTTGCGAAAGCACGCTGGCACTTGTTGTGTCCGTTGCTGGGTACCAGGATGGAGGTTGCCAAAGTCTTAGGATGTCGAAAACGCCAGCTGCTCTTGATGCTGAAAGAGCACTCAGAGCATTTCACCTCAACTGATTCTGCTTTGAAGACTGTGCGAAGTGCCTGAATCTTTTCAGATGGCTCGTAGATTGATTTGGCAAAGCATTTCGACCAACTGCTTGGCATGCATTTCCTCAGCTCTAACCAACTGAGCAAATGCCTAAGCCATTCAATTTCCGCAAAGAAAAGGCGGTATGGACACTAATTTCTAGTCCCAGAATCCGCCCGCACCGAAGGTGCTGAGGGGCATGATACTGTTGGTGTGCGTTCATCGCTACATAGCTTTAGCTAGGGGCACATTTGCGCTTGGGAACGAAATGCATATCCTGCATCATAAGGTCTGTCTGGGAGACGAGTGAGAGTGGGAGAAAACATTGAAAAATGTGTTCCTTATCGTATGATTTGCATCACTAGGTCCATGAAAGGCCCTCTCAACAATCTATGTCTATGTCTTGATATATCTTTCACGATTGCATCATATGCATCAGTTGGTTGGAATTGTATAGTTTATTACGGTCGCATATGCGTCAGCTGGTTGCAAGTGTATAGTTTCTTGTACAAAATGTGTGCATAAAATAGTACAATTTGGACCCCCTGAAAATGCACACTGCATAAGAGGGTCGAAAAATACATACGTACATACATACACACATACATACATACATACATATATATATATATATGTCCAACCATGCTTGCAAACAATTTGCAAGAGGGTCCCCAAAAATAGTGTTCATAGAGAGACATAGCTAAAATCTGCTAAAATAATTGTAAGCTTGTTCAACAAAAAAGGAGTGATTATACACACGTCTCTAAACATTAATCATCCACTTCATGCTGGGTTCATCTCCAAGTTTTGTGTCGATCATCACATTGTTTGGTCTTTTTCCAAATATTCGCTCGTCTATTTATCGAACCGGTTGAAATTGTAAAGTTTTCAGGGTCTCCAAACTATATTCATTTGCAAGCATAGTTGGATATAATTTTGACAACTGAAACATGTACAGTTCCAAGGGGTGTCAAAAAATATTTCCAACGATGCTGGCAAGCAAGTACGACATGTGAAAAGTTCTTCTTGATTTGTGCGTGTCATGCCTGAGTGGATGTCTCTGACGTGTGGCTAAGTTCGAACATGCTCCCTCCACTCAGGCACCTTACGCAGAATTTCACATCCATGCGCCCTGGCCAATGCGTGCACTCGGGGGAAAAATGGATTTTACATCCTGTCTTGGTCACGCGAAAGCTGTTCATCCTACGCAGGCAATCTACAGGAGAGCTCCTGCTTTGCAGTTGGATCTCATGGCCAAATTCCATGACTCTATCTTTCAGCTCTCGCACTTGGTTCTCCAGCTCATCGATGTACAGGTCCGGTCTTTCTGCGCGCAGTCATTTTGGGCTTCTCTCAATTCCTCCTCATATTTCTCGAGGAGAGAAGTCTCTGGCCAAATTGAGACCTGAGCCTCCTTTTCAATGGTCACCTTGACCTTCACTGTGAACATCTCCTTCACATATACTTCACGATGAAGTTGCTCGCGCCATGCATGAACTCAGACGTGTAGACCCGCAGCCACTGACAAATGCTCAAGGCTTCCATGCAAGCGCACAAGCACATTGTGACCCAGCAATCTAGGCCTCCTTCTTGGTTCTTTTCCTCCATGCTCGAGCCAGCTGCTTTGTCCAGCGTCGGCCAAAGCATCAGCAAGCAAAACCTCACATCCTTGGACTTGCCAATCTTCTTCATGCTCTGTTTCAGCTTGTAGTTCTCTTCGATCTCCTTGTACCCTTCAGGTAGGCGACAAACTCCCTGACCTTGTCCTCTCTGCCCACAATGAAAACATCATCAACGTGCACAGTGAGGTACAGCAAGCTTGAGATGAACATCAGAGTCGGTTGCATGCTGCCCTGTTCCATACCATACTCTATGCGTGTAGTGGAAAACAGGTTGAACCACTGCGCTGCAGCTGTACGTTGGCCTTGACGTCCAACGTCACCGCAACAAAGCGCCGATGCACATTCACCAGGAGATGCACCAGCAGCTTAGGAATCACCATCAGTGAAGTTGGTGCAAAGGTCTGCTCAATGTCAACTGAGTTGCGGAACTGTCGAGCCACCAATCTCGCCCTGCAAAACCAACCTCCTTGCTCCAACCGATGCTTCCAGCACATGACCTCTTTGGCGCTGATGACATAGCCACCAGTGTCTTCCACCTCCTGCTGGTCGGTCTCGATCATGGCAGGGATTTGCAGCGTTCGGTTGATCTCTTTCTCCTTTGCTTCTTTGTCGAGTCTCTCTAGCTCTTCCTCACTCACTTCAGGAGGATCATCATCTTCATCACCTCCGTAGTTGTAGAACTCCTCTTCAACCTCACATCTCCATGCACCTCAATGGCCTCCTCTCCTGCATACCTTGGTGGGTATAGCTGTGCTGTTGGTGGGCCCCTTGGTGACGCCTCAACAGGTCTGGCTTCAGGTGTTGCTGCTGAGGGCAAAGCAACATCCGTTGTTTTCATTTTCTTTTCCTTGTTCTCCACATTCTCATCGTCGTCGATCACCCTTTTCTCATGCCCCTTCCGAGGCGATGTCGAAGCATCAACTTTCTTCGACATCCTCTCTTCTCCTTCAGCCTCTTGTTCGAGTGATCTCTTCCCTGCCGGTTTGATTGGAGATGAGGGTAGTGTAGGTGTCATAGGCGCAAATGTGCTTAACAAGCCAGGAGTATCCGGCGCTCGTAGTCCGGGTGCTGGAGTGACGATACCATCCGCCGCAACGATTCGTTGGCAATCTCCTTCAATTCTTGTTCGTTTGCTTCCTCCTCCAGTGTCGGCTGTCTCGTTCTTGGTTTCTGCCCAGTCTGCCTCATCAGGATGCCCTGAGGTGAGTAGCTCCATGGTAGTCCACGAACAGATACAATGTCTGTGGCAATGAAGCTGTCCTCCTTTGGCAATCTGCGAATGGTCCTCGACTCAAATGCTCCCTCAGATGTCAGCACAATGTGTGAGTCGTTCCATGGATGCTTTCCAACCCATACACCACGTTGGAACACACTGCTCCCTTTGTACTGCACCAAAGGTTTGAACGTGACAGACTCTCCAAGCAGTGCCAGTTTCCCTTTGTACGGTCGTCCTGTGGCAAACTCATGACTTGTTTTGCCACACTTCTCAAGTACTCTGAAGCGGTTCACCAAGAAAGCAGCGTGTCTGAATGCCCATGGAAACACGTGGAAGTTTCCCCAAACGCTTCACCTTGCACGGTCTTCAGCCAATGTCCTTAGGCAGTTTGCCATCCACTTGGCCATTTGACGCATGCTGACCAGCTCCTGTCAGCCTGATCTCCGTTGTCAGCCCCAACATGCTGCGAACTTGTTGCACGGAACGAAGGATTTGTCGAGTGGCACGTTCTGAGTCTGCTTGGAAAATGCAGCTATCCCTGGAAGCATTCTGTAAGCAGGAGAACCTGATGATTTCTTCCGTGATTGTCTTCAGACTAGCTGTACCCTTGGATGGTACTGGAACAGCATGAATGGCTTTCGTATCAGAGCCGGTCACTATCAGACAAGTTCCAAATTCTTTGTCTGGTGTTTTCCCGTCCAGCCTGTCCTCATCGCCAGTATAAGTATAGCAGAAGTCGATCTGGGTGACAGATTTCCCAATGTCCTCTTTGTTCTCGCTGGACTTGTAGGGATCTTCCTTCGCTCGACTGGCGATGCAAGCTTGACACCATGGTGCATATGGCTGGTGCGTGACGAAGTGCAGCTCCTGTTCCTCCACAGAAGGTAGCTTTGGCTGTCCCAGGCTAATAGGTCTGCGCTGGTTCTCCTGGAACAATTTGTTCGCCGCTGACAACTGCATCTGGTTCTCTAGGTTCACCTTGAAGGCTAGTAGACGATCAAGGAGACGTCGTTCGCTTCTGTGTGAGCCAAGCCTCTCTCCTTGCACGCCAACTGCAAGTCTTTGACAGTGGTCTTGTCGGAGTAGATCACTTCATCCAATTCAATCTCATTGGGCTTGTTCACAATCACATCCTTCTCCGCGTCATGCATCATCTCTTGTCCTTCCAGGACTTCTGGTTCTTCTCCTTCATCTTCAGACCAGGCCGTCCTCTGCATGGACGAAGCCTCAATCTCTGGGTACGACATGATGGGGGCTTCTGAACCCTGCTCCCAGTAGTCCTTGATCTTCGTGGGCGCAAAGAAGCTCAAGGTCCTCAGAGGATTTGCAGAAGGACTGATTCTGCGGAAAGCATTGGGGCCCATATTGTTGTAGTCCTCCACATTCTCCATCTGCGTTCAAGTGCCATCGTCGTTCTTTACAAGTGTCATTCTTGCCTTGTAGATCTTCTCAACGCTACCTTTGGATCTAGCAGATGACAGGCAACAGGGTCACTGTAGACTGCCACACCATTTGGAAGTCGGTGCCATCCTGGCGCCAATTCCAAACCCTGCGCATACTTGCTGAGATAGCCTGCAAGATCCTTGCTGTAGTCGATGTCTCTGGTGGTTTCTCATTGTTCACTTCCACCACCTGTGCCTCAAACTGCAATGAGTTGCGTTCAGTGTTCAAGGGAATATCTACACTCTTCTCTTCATGCTTCAGGCATAGGACTCCATCGGTACCCCCAAGGCACCATCCTCTCCTTAGCAAGCGTCCAGCACACAAAATGGGATGCTGAACGTTTCCCAAAATGAACTCCTCCACGAGCTCAATGACTTTGCCTTTCTTGTCCTGAACACGGATCCTCATGCTCAATGCTTTTGCCTTGGGCATCCACCATCTTCGACTCCTCTGGCTTCGGTCTCCATGAGCCAACATGTGCATCTTCAGCAGGACCGAAATGTCCGCTCCACTGTCCAAGGTCACTCCATGGCGATGATAGCCACTCCTGAGGGCGCTTCCACTACTGGTTCGTAGCACTCCATGACTCCATGTACTCGAACTCGTCAGGGTCAAAGAACTCCTCCATCTCATAGCGCTCCACCTGGATCATACCCACTCTCCGATGGATAGCAGGTGTAGTTAGGTCGAAGATCTCCATAGACCTGGCCTCAGGTGGTGTTCATACCCGTTGACGAAGAACTCGCTCCACCTGGGTTCACCCGCTCTTCGATCTGGTTGACCCTCTTCCGACAATTTTTGGCATAATGTCCAGGCGTTCCACACGAGTGACATAGACCAGACTTGCCACCCTTGGTGCCTTTCTCATAGGCCTTTTCTTTCTTGCCAGGACCTTTCTCGCAATGTGTCTTGCCCTTCTCATTGCCCTTCCAAGGGCCACGGTTGTCTTTACTCTTTCCTTTCTCTTTGCCCTTACTTCTCCATTCTTGCCTTTGTCCTTGCCGCCCTTCTTGCCCTTGTTGTAGGACTTTCCAACATAGTCCACCTCCATGGGTGTTGCCTCATCGCTTGTGGCCCGTGTAGGCAGCATCAAACTGTTCGCGCTGTCCCATTTGGTTGTCACGGCCTCAAGCTGAATGATGCGCTCCTTCAACTGCTCATAGGTTGTCGTCTCAGTGAGCCATAGATGAAGGTGCTGTCGAATCTGGGCAGGACAAGCTAAGAGAATGGCTGCCACTTTGGCATCCTCTGAGTATTTCTGGTTTGAAATCCTCTCGTATTCATTGACGATGGATTCAAATTGGGGAAGTTGTTCTGAGATTGTCTTCCCATCTGCGAATTGCACTTTGGACACCTGGCTGAGGAGAGCTAGCGGTCTGGCTCTCGTAGCCGGCTGCATCTCTTTGAGCAGGATTTGCCATGCTTCGAATCCGTTTTCCTTTTTCACATACCAAATCAGCTTCAATGGTCTCTGCCTGAGATATGAGGTCAACAGGCTGAACAGCCTCACAGCACGGCCTTTGGTCTCATCCAACATGTCATCGTAGGTGTAATCACCATCCACACCACATCCATGTCTTTCGACATCGTGGGGTCAATGCCCTTGACATAGTTCAAAAAGGCAAATTTCCAATCGCTCCATTGCTTCAACTCAGCTTCCCGATTCTCGGGCTTGAACAAGTCAGGTGACTTCAGATGTCGAGCCCAACTTTGAGTTGACTGGTTCACTGTCAGCCTTTGCAAGGCTTCTGCAACAAGTCGAAGGCTTTCCTCAGCCATTGTTCTCAAGCTTCGAACAGCTGGGTAGTAGATCTTGCTGTCCACCTCCACGCCGTCTCCACCAAACTCCAAGCCACTGTGCACCAGAAGTTCCCTATTTTGCCAGTGCGAAATGAACTCGCACAGCACTTCGGGACAAAAACCTCCAGCCAGCAGGTACCACCACGATGATCTCCTTCAGATCCTTCGAAAGTCGTCCAGCTGCCCTCTGTTGCAAGATGATTGATGCTCGAACTGCCTTTTCTGCTCTCACCCAAGAGATCTTGCCAAGGTGCTCTGCAGTCTCGATCTTCAAGGTGTGGATCCTCCTGGTCTTCCACTCACCAGTCTTTGCCACCACCGACCCGTTCTGGTAGTAGTTGATCTCCTGGATGGCAACTGAGCCCACTCCACCTGCCAAAGTCGCTAGCAGGAGAAGCTCCAGCAGCCAAATGCCAGCTGATCCCGATGATCGTGCCCTGGATCTCGTCAAGCGCGTCGTCGTAGACAACGTCGTAGTGCAACGTGTGTAGACGGCAGCGCGGCTCTTACGGCCAGCGCTCCGCTACCATGAAAAGCGGCGAAGCGATCCTTTTCAAAAGGGGACTTGAGCCTAGAACCGGCAATTGCGGTTCTTCTTGATTTGTGCGTGTCATGCCTGAGTGGATGTCTCTGACGTGTGGCTAAGTTCGAACAACATAACTAAACAACTTTTAAGGGTGTCCAAAAATATAGTGGCTATAGGTATCTATATGTCCTTTTCTTTTTAATCATCCGCTTCATCCTGGCAGGCAACACGATGCCGCTGTGAGAGCAGTGAGAACCCTGTGGATTCTAGAATCCACTAAAGCTATCAGTATGTGGGGCAAACCATCAAAACCAAAAAGGCTCAAAGCAGAGGAGCTCTGCAGCAGTGTTTCTTCTTTCTCGGCCAGGAACAACTGTACCAGTCGGTGGGCCTGAGGTCAGCGTCCGCGGATCAGCTAAGGGATCTACAGGAGAATAGCCATCCTCAAGCAGCCCCCGCAGTTGCAACCATTGCTTCCAAGATTGCGATTGCGCAGGTTTCGACAGGAAGGCAGCTTTCTCATCAAGCCGCTGAACCAAGGAGGACATGTAGCACAATGCTGTCTCCACTGCCTGACGTGTTGCTGAATCATGCAAATCCAGGTGGCTCAAAGCTGTGATTAATATCTTACGCACTTTCCACTGCAAGCTCTTTTCCTTTGCGGCTGAAGAAGCGCAATATTGCTGGATGCTGGTCTGCAGAACTGGTGCATTCAACCAACTTGCACACTTTCGCACTAAGCGGCAAATTGCATTGCCATCTAACTCTGATTGGCTAACCAAGGTGTTCAACAAGCTCTCGGCTTGAAGTACTAGCTCCAGCTGTTCTCCGTGTCCGGCATTGCGAAAAAGGGCGATTCTACGCTGCAGGCGCTGAATCTGACCTCCAGACCTCTCTGGCTTTGCTTTGGACAGCTGAGTCAAATCTCGCTTTTGGGTCTGCTCCTGTGGCATCTGTGGCACCGAACACAGGACCTGCAGGTCTACTGCCTCGAACAGCTCCACTGAATCGACCCAACCAGGAAGACACCGCTTCTGGAAACAAACCTCTTGACCGATGGCTAAGAAGAGTGGAGCACGTGAGAAACGGAGATACTCTTTGCCACTGAGGGATTGATACTCCAAAATGCCACCGGAGTCGTAGTGCAGCTGACACACCTGGCCTTTCAACAACCGGCTCATCGCAGCTCCCGTAGTGGGAGAAACTTCACATCGTTGTTGGTGATGCTTTCTTTGCAGCTGAGGAGAAACTTGATTGTGCTTTCCTATACTAAGTGACACGACTTGTGTTTGCTTCAGCCCGTGACCTCTTGGACTTGCAACAAAGGTTATATATGAATCAGCGCAACAAGTCCAACACGAGCCAACTCAAAGTGGAACTCTGAGCATTGCTACATCAAGCTCTGCACGGTTTGCTCTGTCAGTTTGCTGTGCAGGGTCCGTCGTCCCTAACCCCTCAAAGTGGAACAACCTCGCCTCAAACCACAGGTTCAGAAGGGCCATGGGACAAGCATAGCGATGAGTGGATCCTTGTTTATCCAACACACCAACTATCTAATGCTTTTCCAACATCAAATGCTCTAACTATTTAAGGCTGCTACCTCGATGTTTGAAGCTCAGGCTGGATTGTGGTGCCAGGTGCGATTCTCCACCTTTTGGAGCGTGCGTTTGGAAGAATGAATGACGGAGTTCCTACTAGTCTAAATTGCATCCGTCGGGAGTGTGCATCCGTCATCCGTTCACACAGTTCATGCTTTCTCAAAGGCGAAACGAAATTCATGATAGGCTGTAGGTCACGGCATGTTATGGCCCTTGAAGACCCTTGTTGTATTCTGAGAAGCACCCTGAAAAGCAGTGTCGCGCAAAGGGTGTCCACCTTGCGATGTCGCATGGAGATGGCGATCGACAGCCTGGGTGAAAGAAGAATGACGGCTGCTCTTAGGAGGCCCATCTCAAAAGAATCCGAGAAGAAAGGCGCCTTGTGAACAAATGTCCCTCCAAATCTAGGAACCGTTTCAACTCAAGCGCACTAGGTAGATGCTATATGTCTCTTTTCAACACACTGTATTTCAACATGTTTCAACACAACACTCCCTTGTTACTCTTGGGTTTCCACACTGGTCACGGTCGGTCTCGTAGGATTTACGGTTGGTGAAGAACCAAAGATCTTTCAACACGGATCTTTCTTGACATCCTCAATTTGTTTCGGAAAAAAAAAGTGAAAACCTTATTCGGACCTTATGTACCAGCCTATGGCCGGCCATTCTTTCACTTCGTACGTCAGAGAAGGTTGTTTAGAGGGGCTGAGACGCGCGTATCGTCTTCTGGGTGGGACACAAAAATCTTTGTGGGGTAGAGGACGCTACTAGGAGCAAAGGGCATCGCTACTAGGAGCAAGGATGCTACTGGGGGCTCCTGGCATCGCTAGGAACAATAAAGCTACTAGGAACAAGAAGCTACTAGGGGCTCCTGGCCTTACTACTAGGAGCAAAGATGCTACTGGGGGCTCCTGGCATCGCTACTAGGAACCAGAAGCTACTAGGAGCTTTTTCGGGTCCAGCTTGCCGCGTAGCTTGGTGACGTCCGTGTAGGGCGTCACATCGAGAGGCTTCTTCTCGTTCTTATCATTCTCTGGTATCTCTACCATCGCCCATCTGGCAGGTCTGTGCCCACTCGTTGCAAATTCGTTGGACTTAGATTGAAGTCAATAGCCCTACAGCTCTCAAAATGATGTCCAAAGGATCTCCACAATCCTTTGAGCATTGAAAACGAAGTGCACGAAGCGTTCATTGATGTATTTGTGGTTTATGTATGTTTGTGTTATGTATATAATGTTATGTTATGCTATGCTATGCTATCTATCTGTCTTTGCTCGTGACCGCAATTAGGAATTAGAGCATGGCGAGCTACGGACGAATCGTCTACCTATGAATGCCTTCGTTGGGCCACGGTCTGGCAGGTGGGCATGGAGATGAACTTAGGGGCTAACAAGGTGTCAGGACCCGACCACAATGGAGAATCGCAAAGAAAAGGCCACTGGCTTCATGTTGCATCGACCGGCTCTCTTTAACAAAAGCCGATGCTCCCGCCTCTGCTTCCATTGTGTCCACGTCTCTGGGATGTCACAAAAGAAGCGAAGTGAGCGCATGTCACCAGGCTCCTCATTTGAGACGAAAGCACATCAAAGACGAAACATCACACATGATGGCTGAAGAAAAAGACCAAAAAAATCCCAGGGGAGATACTGATTGTGAGAAGCGCAGACTGTGCACACGGATTCCAGGTAGTCGACGTTGCCAATGCACTGGACTACTACAAGGAAGCAAAAGGAAGCAGAAGGAAGAGAGGAAAAGGAAGAAGATAAGGGAACCTTACCATTGTTCATGTCTGTCTTAAAACCTAAATGCCTAGTCCAAGTCATTTCAGTTCAACTACCCGCGATGTACCAACTGTGACATGTTTATCTTTTTTCGACGATATCACAAGCGACATCCGTGCTCCTCCTGCCAACGAACCTTGAAGTCCAGCGGGCTTTGCGCGACTTCAGATGCCTAGTGCCAGCGACTCGCTAGGATCTTCCGAGTGGCCCCGAGTGGCCTAGTAGGGTCTAGTCGCCAGCATTCTTGTTGTTTTCTGCGAAGTGGGCCCAACTCCCAAGGAAAAGGGATTCACAAAAGATCGCAAACCGTTTGCGCCAGTGAGGAATGAGAGCTGGGATCGAAAAGAAGGTCCCTTCAACTTGCAAGAGTGGCGTTCTTGTCAAAAGCAAGTCAGGGTCTTTCTCGCTCGCAGTAGTCAGATGTAGTCAGGATAACTATATAAGTCGTCTTCTTCCAAGCAGCCCTGGAGAAATGCTCTGTTCTAGACGGGAACCAGCGTCATGTCCCTCTACAAGAGCAAGTACAGCAACGTGATCAACGAGCTCGTTCAATGACGTTCACGGTCCGCCATTCGGTCTGCCATCCGCTTCTCCTCGCTCTGTCTACGGATCCGGGTTTGCCTGGGTCCCTGCTGGGTCCCCATGCCCAGGCGAGACTCCTCATGGCATTGGCCACCGCCACTTCGCCCCGAGCACCAACGACCTCAGCGTGTCGCAGACCACGCAGACCAGTCGCTGGTTGGAAGGACAGTGAAGTCTCTGAGTCACAAAGGAACAGGCTTTCTGGAGTTCTGAAGCCGGTCAAGTCAGCAATCAGTCCTGTCTGAGAAACCTGTGCAAATCCATGCAAATCCTACTAATGCCAACTTAGCCTAGCTGACCGAGAGAATCTCCAAAGGGGTATCTCAGATCTCCAGCAAGTTCACCACAGCAACGCCTTCCCCAATGCCCACCAGTTCGCCAGTGAAGAGATTTATGCCTTGGCTCCTCTTCGAGTGGGTCGGTGACCGGGAAAGGCTTCGGTGCGTCGGCGGAGTCGGCGGAGTCCGGCGGCGTCTTGAAGACGCCCATCATTCGATGGACGGGTCGACTTGACGACCCTTCAGACCGAAACCATCGCGGTGTTGGCGGTTTGGCCCCATCTCAGGCATGGGCACAGTAGCCATTTGGCTCTGTGCACATGAGGCCTCGATGGAATTCGATAGAGCTGGGCGAGGTGGCTTCACACAACTGTGGTGCTTCACCAAACATGGCTCTGCTTCAGGAAAGGCCAACCACCAGATGGGTGTATTTGTAAGTTCTTAGTTCCTGCATCTGAAGTGAAAACTTGCAAGACACTGCAATTGTTCTTCCACTGACAAGAGCGGTGGCCCGTGATCAGTCAGCATCACCAATTCAACAAAATGGAGTAAAGGAACATCACAGGAAAATGTTGTATGGGATAAGTTCTGTCTCATCGAATAATGGATTGAGTGCCAAAAAAAACTGTCCCGAGGTCTCTGCAAACATGCAAATCCGTTTCTATGTGCAAGACATTCTTTTGCAAGACAAAGCCATGCTGAAGAAGCTACTAGGGGCTCCTGGCTTTACTACTAAGAGCAAGGACGCTACTAGTAACAAAAAGGACGAGCCTTGTTGGAGTTGGGAAAGCTGGGAAGCTCAAGGGTTGTTCCCTTAGAAGTCCTGCCATTTTGGGCCGTGTTCTCTCATGGAGCATCTTCCAGTCTGAGGAATTCGGCGAATTTTGCCGCCCAAACGTACGTGGCACTGGTCGTCTCCCACCTGGGAAGGGAGTAAAAAGAGAAGGGATGGATCGATCGAAGGGAGCGATCGATCGAAATGTTCTTCATGATGTGAACTTCGTCATGAGTTCACTCTTTTCTTTGAAGCACTCTTTTTTCGTCTTCTTACGACCTTTAGGTTTCGGGGCAGTCTTCCAGGGAGCTGTGCCATTTGTGTAGATGACAAACGCAAGAAAGCCTGGCCTCAAATCTTTCGGCTCAACACGTCTATCACCCATTGCGGCCTGTCTCATTCCAGGCGCCCACAGAATGCGACTGTCATCACAAAACCTTCGCGCACTGCGAAAGGACCTGAACGTAGCTGTGCTGGTCCCTACAGCTACAGAGTCTTGCATAAAGAACTTTATCTATCTGGCATGAATGCATACTGAATAAATAGGCCACTTCACTTCGCACTGCTTCTCCACTTTGCAGGTTGGAAGTTGCATTCTTAAGAAGCTTCACTTGTGGTCCAAGCCTGGTGGCGCTCACCCTCCAAAGCATGAGGAGCGCGACTTATGGTAAGTCATCCAAGCTGCAGAGATGCAAATCGCTCAAGCAACTCACCATGGTATGGTTTATCCTTAAAATCAAGTGCCAACAACAACCGGCGTCTGTTGAATGTTTATCGTGTGGGTTCTATGATGTCAAGGAAATGTCCGTTGTCAGTTGGAAGGAGTGTGATGGGCAAGTGATTGAGCCTGCAAGAGCAAACACAATTTGCACATCATGACTTGGTAATACTTGGTATTATGCATGGCGCGGCAAAATGCCATCAGTATACTGTAGCCAGGCTGTCCCAAAAGTCGTCGTGACTCAATTCGCTGGCTTGGTTTGCTTGGGACACGGGGCTTGTACGGTTCTTCGAAAAATGGGAATGCAGGAAGTCTGGGAGTGTTTTAGCTATATACATCCACAGCCCATTCTGGTAAAGGCAGGTGTACTTGAGCGCATGGTTCCTGCTTTGAATGTGTTACCGAGTTCATCTTTTTGTCGGTGCTGCATCGCGGTTTCTCTCCACGAAACACTCGGGAGATCTTCTCCATTGAGCTCTTCACGACTATGATCAATATAGGGAGGACTCTCTGGTCACATCGTGCAGATCGATTGGACTAAAGTCATGGTCTTCTCGACATGGTCCATGCTGGTCGTGGCTTTACAGACAGATTCCGACAAGCACATGACACTCCACGAATCACTATGCTGCTTCAGGAACTTCACCTTGCTGCTTTGGAAGCCCAACCTGTGCTGGAGAATCTGGAATCTTCTTGCTGGAACGTACACACTGTAATATCCCAACCACACACTTCCCACGGCCTTGCCATGAAGTCGATAACCCTTGACATATGAAAGGCCAACAGCACAAGCAATTCCCACCTGGGGTGGAGTGGGGCACGGGTGAAAGCACAATGTCGCACATCAAGGAACAACAGCAATCAAGCATTGAAGAATGATGCTGTGCCTTTAGTGTACTGTGTTAAAGTCTTCCTTTCTTCGGACATGCTTCTCTGCAATCCGCTTAAGAACGCCGGATTCGGATTAAATGATTAGGATCATTGAGGTGCCAAAGCAGTCCCCACATCTTGCCAACAACATTCTTCTCTTAACTGTCTGATCTGTCTGAACACATATATAAAAAGTCGACAGAACATCCCTGCAACTGTTTGAAAGGATGCCAGCTTTCTGTGCGAAAGAAGCAAGAGCAGAAACGCACCAGCTTATTCAACTTATTCACGGGATGTATCGTGTTCAGCCATTTTGCAAATCAGCATCTATGCAAGCAAATACTGTAACGTCATGTAAGAATCTGTTGATTCAATGGTGTTCTAACCTGAGTAGAGAAGCTGAGCACTCCACCGTTGCAAAGCCCATTGCAAAAAAAGCAGCAGTGCGAGGGATCTGTGGCGTTTGGGCTGTCGTCAGAATGGGCGGGGCGCAACTGCAGTCAGCACAGGGTCTTCAAGTCTTCAAGATAAACTCCAAGATTTATAATTGGTTAACTTCTCCAGTCCTGTAAGACTACCCCGTGTTGACTCGGCAAGATTCGCGTTCTTCAAGGATGCTGAAAGGTCCTTGGGGGGTTCGCCCAGCCGACATCCGAACTTGCCTGACTTCGAGCTTGAAGATAATTGGCTGCCACATTGGTGGTTGCTGGCTTTGGATTCACCTTCACCTCATCGATGATTCATGTTCATTTCAACAAGAAGGCTTGCTACGACAAGTGGCCTGGTCATCTTGTTACGACGCGTATATGATATGTGATGTGCACATTTTTTAAGAAGCAAGCGCTGTGTTGAAGAAATAAGCACAGATGTGCCTGCAAACGTCACTCAAAGGACGTTTGACCTTTTGACGGTGTCGCAACTCTCAGGATGCGACCACAAATGGACCAACATTGTCTCCTGCCTAGCAGACTAATGCAGCGCTAGCGTGACCAAGCCGAGAGGCGGACACACGCAAAAGTTTTTTGACAACTTTGCAGGGGGCAGTGTCACCCGCCATAAGCCTTTGGGCTCATCAAGATTTATGACAAGGCCACACATCAAAAGTTGTTTCTCTTTTGACTCTCCTCACGTTGTCACAGAACTTGCAATGGACGGTGTTTGTACATGTTCGACAGCTTCCAAATCATTAGCGAGAAATCCCACCTCGATTAGAGTCTTGTGCGTATCATCACAGTACCTGGTAGATGCAAAAGGACACAATGGTCCCGCGAAGACAACTTGCACAAGCTGACGATTCCAGTCTCCGCAGCCACAATTCATTCAGCGCATGCAAACTGAGAAACTGCAGCACCTTGTGTGGTACAGTACCGATCAGCATCCCCTAGACCAAGCCATCTTTCAAAGCCATATACCCTATACCACACCAGCTTGGGTACCCAACCAGGTTCTGCAAACCAACGCTTCAACACCATTCATTCCTTATCCAGTAAAGTAAAGTCTATATATAGGCGTTTCTCTAACTTCCCGCAGAGACTGACCCCGTGCCATCGCGCACGGGAACTTCTTCGATTGCCAGCAGCGGCAAATCTTGATATTCTTGGTCTGTCCGGCGCGCTTGCGGGTACGGTGCCCCATGGTGATCACTAGCATCTTGGAAGGACTTGACTGTCCACGATCTGATAACATGGACCAAAAGGATATGCTTGGAAAGGTCTGGAAAAGACTGTAGCTGCTGGGTCCTGCTAGGTCTTAGTAACCCCTCCAACGAGTCTAAATTGAACACTACTGCGCTACTCTACCTACCAAAGCGCTTCAGGTTGCCTTCTTTTATGAGTAATCAACCTGTGAGCCGGTGGCCTTGTGGCAGCTTCATGATGATTGGTTAACACTCACTGCTTGCAAAGCACAGGATTCATTCGGGCACGCCCAACCTCCCCAGGGACAGCGTACTGGATGAGGTGATGATACCTGAAGGCTGTCAGGATTCTGAGGACCCAAGGCCCTTGGCTGAATGCTCTTTGCATTTGGACCGAAGGAGTCATCTCTGGTCCTTTTTCCACAAAGGATCTTACTCGCATCTACCCGCTCACAGAATGCCGTTGACCTACTGACCCACTGAAAAGGTAAATTCTATAGCCAACGGTCGCCTACCCAATTATACAACTTGCAGCCTGCAGGAGCCGTGTGCAAGTCAAGACTGCTTCACACATTATGGGCCATCCAACATCTCCACAAGTTCTGCAAAGAATCATATTGCTTGCCCTTGAGACCGTCGCTGAAAGAAGCCCTATGCTTCTGGTGTTCCGGTCCTTCTGGTTCCACTTCTTCGACCACACCACGGAGCACTTCTCAAAGTTCTTTGTGTTGTAATCCATCCCAGCTGGAGGCCAATCCATGCTGTGCACCTGGAATTCCGGACTCAGGAAACCCCAAAAATGCCGTCAAAAAAATACACAGTTTGTCGTCTGAAAGGGAATGCATCTGTGCCCGTCTGGAGTGATGTTTTGCATCTTTGGCCTTTTTCCGCGGTACCGCCGACAAAGCTGAGCTTCAACAGCCCGCAACGCAGACCCCCCGGAGCTTGGGCTGGAACGGCCAGCGAGGCATATGAGGCTTCTTGCAGTTTTACGAAGCAAAGAGATTGAAGCTACAGGTGGCATCTGAGATCTTGGGAGACCCACCTGGACAAAGGGAGAAATCGATAGAAAGGGAAGAAACCGTTTATGTCAGTATCCCCTACCCCCTACACTGCCCTACACCAAATCAGAAGACCCTTGTGCTCCCAACCAATACAGCTTCCATATATGTTTCCATGAACATTGACTTTTGAAGTCTGAGTCTGACCATCACATGTCAGCATGAGCACGTCCCTCGATGCAATACTTTGGCAAGGACATCAGCAACCCCCCAACGACACCGGCGCTCCGACGGGCATTTTTTGTTTCTCGCAATCTACTCGACGCTCTTTTGGAGGTAGATGCTAAAGTAACATAATAAGTAAGGCAATTACGTGTTCACGTGGCACGCTGTAAAGGACAAAATCCTTTGAAGCGATATGATCTTGCCGCCCTCCCATTTGCCAAGCCTCCACCCAACACATGTTATCACAAAACAAACATGAAGGATGAAGGAATTATCGCTACTGTTATTCCAACCTGCGACCGTCCTACAAAGAGCTTGAATCTTCTGAGGGGCGACCTATGCGAAGAATCATTGATGGAGCCACAAAAGCCTGCATGATTTCTAGCCAAATCTCCTGGCAATGACGACAACCTTCTCAAGAAGATCCTCGAACAACTGGCTTTATGCCACAGGCAATCGCCCCCAGATGAATGGCAAACAACACGCAAACATTGGCATCTAAGGTTGGAGGACACAGACCAAGTACTGGCCCTGTGTCTGTTGTGTCTTGGAAATTATTTATCCGGGATTTCCGAGCACCGGATTTCTTAGCATCCCTGCCGTAGTCTGTACATATGAAATGCAAAGTGAGAGACAACGCGAAGACTCGGGGAGTCAAAAGGTCGCACGCGAACATTGCGAGCTGCGAGCCTGGACCTCACGACCTATTCCGAGAGCCTACAGGCAAGCCTGTTTGGCAAGTTTGGCTTGGTTCGGAGGTGTTGAGGACTCCTCTGCCATTTTGCGGAAGGCTCGCAGGGACACGATCTTGCTGTCCAACAGGCCTCAGTGGATGGCGTTCAAAAATCTTGGAACCACCTGAAGACGGGGGGAGGTCACGCGCGGGGAGCTTCCTTGAAGCGTAAAAATTCCGTCCTAGGTAGCTTACTTAAGCTACTAGCCACTTCTCACCGCCTACCCCTCACCCCTGCGTTAAAAAAAATAGAGAATAATAACATAACTCCTGTTATGTTGCTTTTAATAGCAATGGCCTCCACCAAAAAATAGAAAGTAACTCAAGTCACAATGAAATCAATGTTCCCTGCTCCCCATAATCCAAGAGGCCCAGGACCTGCTGGTGCGATCCGAAGCGATCAGCTTCCTTTGCGATGTCCCAAGTACTGCGGCCTTTGGAGGTCTTTTGTTCTAGATCTGCTCCTTCTGAGCACAGCATTCGAAGCATCACATGATCACCCTGCTGAGCAGCCACATGG